TAAAACGAAAAATAAATCATAAAGGTTGAAATCGCACATTTAAATATAAGAAAGCGAGAAAGTACATTCCTGAGATTTTGTGTGTACTTTTTGTAAAATAAAAACATATAGCTTTTACCTCTCATGAGTTATATAACTGAACTATGTAATTAACGAAATCACGTTTCCTTGACTTGTCAATTTTTTTATTTTTAGCATTGAGCAATACTTTTATGTAGATCGGCCCAAAATTGAGTTGGACTATCGGCCCACCGGGACAAGTCCCGGTATCCCGATAGGCCAATCCGCCCCATTGAGCAATACTTTTATGTGGATCGGCCCAAAATTGAGTTGGACTATCGGCCCACCGGGACAAGTCCCGGTATCCCGATAGGCCAATCCGCCCCTGCTATTAAAAGAGAATTTACATTTAATGCAATTGCCATTTTGCTTGCAGCAAATGCGTCTCTGCCCGGAGTCTGCCAATTATAACTTTACAATGGCCCACAGCCAACAGTTGATATATAGACATATATAATACAGGAGGAAGAATTGGAAAGGAAAATAAAACATTAAGAATAAACTACACGTCAATAGATAGATATGAAATTATGACCCAAAAAAAGATATTTTATAACTATACTGTGAACTTCATGAAGATAAGTACATATTTTCATTTCTTGATTTTAAACATTTCATTGCACTGTCCATTAATGATAATAGCTAGTGATATGGTAGGGAAAATGGAAAATGAAATATAAGATTTACCTTTAAAAACCTTTTGATATTTATTTATGAGGTTATAGAGATTATGCAAATGAAATGTGGAAACTGTAACATAATAAATAGTATTTTTATACTCAACATAAAAACCACCTTGCAGGTGAACTATTCAAAATCTGAATGCATTAAATAATGAGTTTTTATTAGAAATGGTAGAAAAAAATCAAAAGTTTTATTTTGTAAAACTACATACTTTTAGGAAAGTTTGTGTCAAATTTCAAACAATTTCATTCTCTAGTTTCATTTTTAGAACAAAATATGACAAGAGTGACTTTACCTACTAAGAATCTTAGTAGCCGGCAGTCATAAGGTTAAATAATAATGATAAAGAGGAACAAATGGGCAATCTCTATTATAAACCACTACCATGATTCCTGATATAGATAGATAATTATATTTTTTATTTGAAATCAGTATGCCTATAAATACACCCTAAAATTCTGTTAGCTCAACTAATAGCAACAGAACATTGTTTCAATGGCTTTGATGACTTATCCACCATTATCACAAAATCCCTTTATGCTATTGTCTGGGTTCCCATCTATATTAAATGTGATCCAAATTATGATAACCTTACTACATTACTTTGCATTTAATATACAATTAAAGATTATCTGCTAATTATGTGAGATCAATATCATTAATGCAAATAAGAAAACAGCAAAGGCCCAAGCATAAACTCTTGAGCCACTCCACTGGTAACAAAGTTTGACTAGACTTTGTTAATAGCAATATTTTGCTTAATCCTCTCTACACGGGTCACAGGTCAAAGGCCATGTCATCGCATTTGATATCAAATTGTAGATTATAATTCAAATTCTAGTATTAAACATTATTTAATTTCTTCACTTAAAGTAACTTTAAAATAAACACCTAAATATCAATTTTTGTGTGTCACATGGTATTTTGAATGCAACATTGGTACAAATTAGATGTTTGTAATGTCCAACTATAAAGCCTATAGTTTCTTACGGATTAGGAACTCAAATTACCAATACTGACAAGCTAGAATATAAAATAAAAACCTTCTATCTTTTCTATTTGTTGAGATATCACTCATGTACTGAATCAAACATAGTGGTCCCACCCACTATGTCCATTTTTGGAAAAATTTCCTCATATACAATTACTTCTGTCTATGACATGTGAATATCCAATTCAAAGCTCAGAATGTTCCCTTAGTGGTTTTCTTAGCCATTTTCAAGTATTATGACGTCAACTCATTCTTTTGATGCAAGACTTCAAGTTGATAAGTTGAGTCTTTAGTCTGCTTGAATTTTCATATTTTCTTAGACCCAAATATAGCTTAGTTACTAAGCTTGATAAATTATAGTGGAATTCTATGGTATCAAAATAGAAATCTATGA